ATATGAAGAGAAGATGTTTAAAAGAAGCAGTAGGGTGCCTCGTTCGATATATTGATTTGAACTATTATATTTTATGGCTAAGCGGAGCCGGGACGCTCTCTCGGCTGCCCGAGGGCCCACCTCCCGGGACGCCGTCCGCCCCAGCCCTCCGGTGGGAGCGGCCCCGGCTGTGCGGGGCTTGGCTGGTCACGGGTCCCTGGTGCGTGTCGGTGACGCTCTCCCGGTGATTCTTCCAGGTGCGCGGGGATCTGCTCGTACGAAGGGAAGGGCGGCATGTGCTCCATCCGCCTCAGCGAGCCGCTCCTGAAGCTGCGACCCAGGAAGGACCTCGTGGAGGTATTTCTTCTCCGCATAAACCCGGTGCCTGGCTCCCTAACGGAGACAGTCTTACCGATTTAGGCGGCTGCGAACCGCGAATGTAAAAAATATATGTGTCAGTGGTTCCTCGTTGCAGACTGTAATTGTGGAGCAAATAGTAATGATGACCTTCTATGTTCCCAGTGCCTCAGGGTTACAGGCTTTCAGGTATGGTATCGAATTTGGTGTTTATACCAGTAATTGACAAGTTTCAATGCGTGTTAGCCTCGTTTTTGTAAATGAGGAAATTAAGGTTCAGAGGGTTAAATAACTGCTTTAAGCTGCATATTTAGAAAACGGAGAAAAACTTAGGATCCATCTCTTCCTATCAAGACACAAATTTTGATTCTCTTCTGTTCAACCACCCGTGGTGTCGCCCTCCCCGGACGTGGAGCGGAGCTGGCAGCGCCCACCAGTGAGCGGGTGCCCTTCCTGCCAGGGGGGATGGCTCTCCTGCGGGCAGAATGGGCGGCAGAAGCTCCTCGATGGCCTTTGTGGAGTCTGGTAGAGGCCTGAATTCCCAGGATGCTCAGCGGGTGACTTGTCTTCCCCAGTTAGATCACTTGAGACTAAGCCCCAAAGAGCATGGGGGGGTGGAGGGGGTTGGCAGATGTGGTAAAACCTGCTTGGAAATGCGAGGGATGCTGTTTTTAAGGATAATAAAAGGTAACGAGTGTCCCAACAAAGATGATACTTACACGCTGAACTAAACATTTAAAAACAGCGAAGATGGTAAATTTTATGTTACTGACTTTTTACCACAATTTTAAAAAGTAAACAGCTGCTAATGTAAAATGTTAATAAAAAACAAAGAAAGGAATAAAGAAACAAAGGCCAGAGAAAGAGAAAGGTAGGCATAAACACAATACCAGTCATTATATGACACAAAGACTAAACACTAGTTAAAGACATGGAATAACAAACTAGATTAAAAGAGACACATTAAAGACTCTTACGTTCGCTCTGGCCGGGTAGCTCAGCTGGTTAGAGCGTCGTCCCCATACACCAAGGTTTTGGGTTTGAACCCCGGTTAGGGGACATACAAGAATCATCAATGAAAGCACAACAAATCAGTGTGTTTCCTTCTCATATGGGTTACTTATGTCTTTTTCTGTGAACTGTCTGTGACCTTGGCACATTTTAAAGTTGGGTTATTGGTCATTTTCCTGTTGACTAGTTATATTTTAGGAATGAATAGCCAGTGAGTGAGTTGCATATATATTTTTGAGTTTGTTCACTTAACTTACGGTGTCTCCCCCCACCCCCCATACAGAAATTTATAATTTTTTATGTAGTGATTTCATTGATCTGGATTTTGATTAAGAGATAAAAAGGCTTTCCAGGAACAGGGAGTTGCTAACGCAGGACCTATAGAGCTTCAGATATTCTGTGCAGTTCTGTGCACGTGTGCTTGTATGTTTTTCTAGAAAGATGCCTCATGACTTTTATCAGCATCTGAGAGGAGCCTGTGAGCCAAAGGTTAAGGCCCCAGGTAGAGTAAGAAAATGCATGTTTATTTCAACAGCACCAGAAACTAATATGATTGTTTTCCGTTTCAGACCCTCTTGCATGAGATGATCCACGCCTACTTATTTGTCACTAATAACGATAAAGACCGGGAAGGGCACGGCCCTGAGTTTTGTAAGCACATGCATCGCATCAATCGCCTGACTGGAGCCAACATTACGGTATGTGAAGCCACACACATTGCTGATATTCAGTAGTTCATTCATCCAGTAGTTGTGAGATTTAGTGAAAGATAGAGAACTGGGTAGAAACAAATACTTTCTTGGAGGATTTTGCCCAGAAGCAGGAGGCCTGGAGACGCTGACTCGGGAGGGGCAGCGGAGCCGGCCTTCCTGGAGGCACCTTTCCTGCGGTCGCATCAGGCCTGCAATCCCTCTTCTGGGCTGTTGACGGCGGTCTCCCACATGTTTCATTAGTATAGTCTCCTCCTTCAGTCCACCCTGTGTTCTGCGCCGCTTCACGTCCTTCCCTTTCCCAAGTCGACTTCGATTTCTATTGCGACGTAATATTGTAGGAGGTGGCAGAGCCTGGGGCCCGAAGAGCATGAGGGTCAGACTGCGTGAGTTCAGGTGCTGGTCTGAACTGTGGGCCTACTTAACTCCTCTCCGCCTCATCTTACATGGAAAGTGGGGATGAGCACAATAACTTGGCTTGGATCCTTATGAGGATAGAAGGAGAAAATACATGCAGAACCTTTTAGCACAGTTTGGGTACTAATTAAATATTAGTTGTTTTTATTGTTATCAATTGGTCTTATCAGATAACCTCTCTGTTCCTTTTTTTCCTTAACCTCCACATTCCCCTGCTTAGATAGGTCTTGTGTTGCTAACTGAACTTTCCACCTCCATCCCCTCCTCAAACCCTCCCTAAACTGCCGCTTTTGTTTGCTGTCAACATGTTCTTCATCTGCCCAGTGGGCTCTGACTTCTCTGTCCTTTAAGTCTCAACAGACATTGAACCTTCTGCAGGATTTTATCTTCTCAACCCAGGGCGCTCTCCCTCTTCCTAGCCCTCTGTATATGATGCTTAATGGAGCGAGCACCTCTGGAAGGACTTAACAGACTTTGAACGGAAGTGAACCAAATAGGACATTCTTGCATAAATTCTTTGGTTTTTGGGGTATCACCTTCCTTTAATAGGCAGTAGAGGCCAGTGTGATGAAAAACAAAAAGTGCTCCCCTTGATGTATTTTTCTAGCTGTCAGTGCTAACTTTCTAGAGCGCTCATTAATTAGTATAGAGTTACTTCAACATCAAGAAAGTGGCTTGCGTTAAAGAACAATCACAGAGAGCCCAGATTAGCAAAAGCATCGTGGAGCTGCCAGTATAAAAGGCTTCTGGTCTCATTAGAATTTGCACTTTCAGCTCAGCGGGAAGAGGATATATTCTTTTATCTTGGAGGCCTGTGTGTTGTTAGGTCGGAGAGGTTTGATCGAGTGGACACCCTTGCTTTTTCAGGTTACATCCTGTTATAACAAACTCCACAGGCCTCCAGTTTCACACTGCGGAACCATTTTCTTTTAGTGACCACATTGTTAAAAGTGACATTCCCCGGCTGTAGGAGTTATAGGAGTTGGAAGCAAAACAGATCCAATTCCCAGATTTTGTGGCCAATTAGTAAGCAGAATTCTCAACAGGAGGGAAGGCAGGTCTTACATCCATGCCTCTGCCCCGAGCCTCTGTCGCCCGTCTCTTCCGCACCTAATACAGTACCCATTGTCTGCATGCTGGCCGAGCAATAGGGTTTTTCTTGCTTATGATGGAGAGATGGGGAGTGTAAAACGATCTGTAGAGTTACAGAAAGCTTAGCATTCTTTCCCACATCGGGAATTTATAAAAGTATATCTTATAAAAAAAGTAAAAAATCGCTGAGGCCGGTTTGGCTCAGTGGATGGAGCGTCGGCCTGCGGACTGAGGGGTCCCAGGTTCGATTCCGGTCGAGGGCATGTGCCTGGGTTGCGGGCACATCTCCAGTGGGGGATATGCAGGAGGCAGCTGGTCGATGTTTCTCTCTCATCGATGTTTCTGACTCTCTCTCTGTCTCCCTTCCTCTCTGTAGAAAATCAATAAAATATATTTAAAAAAAAAAAAAAAGTAAAAAATCTCATATACAGATGCTCCTTATCTTGGACAGATAGTCATGTTCCCCTGAGGACAGAAGAAAAGGGACTCATTTAGGAGAATCCGTCTTTAAATGGTGCCTGCCACCCTCATTGCCACCAAGGAGGGAGGGCTGGCCTTCCTTCAGTCCCAAGTCTGCATCTGCCTCTGCTTAGGCTCTAAATAGGATCTCATCTCAGGGTGAAACAGTGATCCTGGGTAAGGAGTGAAAAGCACGTTTACAGGGAACCTGGACCCATTGAATGAAGCTCCTCAGTCAGGCAGCAAACATTGGTCCCTTCAGGGGCCACACGTACATTAGCCACCGAGGACGCAGAGATGAAAACATTAGAATTCTGGACGGTGTTTCCCCCTCCAGCAGATAAATGAACCCACAGGCTTCTTCAGAGACTCGAGCGGAGAGCCGCCAGGTGCGGAGAGCGGGCTTCCGCGGAGGCTGCACGGGCGAGGGGCTTGTGTTCAGGGAGCTCAGCATGGAAAGGAGCCCTCAGCCCTTTGGTGCTAAACTTGTAGGGAAACAGTTTTTATTGTTATGGCACACAGACTCTTGTTTTTTATCCTAAGTTTTTATCATTAAATTCGTTTTCTAAAACTTTAGCATGTATGGAGGCTTTGCATTTTTCTAAAAGGCTTTCTTTTTGTCTTCTCATCCACATTTAACTGCTGCTCTTCCCCATTAAAGTGAACTTTGACCAGAGCTAAATATAATTGCTGTATTTCCCAAAATAAAACTTCAGAAAGTCCTAGGAAACTGGAAAGCTTAAAAACAAAAAAAAACACCCCTTTTGTATTTTCTTAAAATTGTTAAGTTGCCTACTCAGTGCTAAACCCTCTCTTTCAAACCAGATATACCACACCTTCCACGACGAGGTGGACGAGTACCGGCGCCATTGGTGGCGCTGCGATGGGCCGTGCCAGTTCCAGAAGCCCTACTACGGCTACGTGAAGCGCGCGACCAACAGGGCTCCCTCCGCGCACGACTACTGGTGGGCCGAGCACCAGAGCACCTGTGGGGGCACTTACATCAAAATCAAGGAACCGGAGAACTACTCCAAGAAAGGCAAAGGAAAGACAAAGCTCGCAGCAGCGGAAAATAAAGGTAACCCTGTTACATGCCACCTTTTCCACAACGGTAGCTACAGCGTAAAGACAGTACCATCTTTTAGAAAGCTGGCACACAATATTAAGAGAATCTTAAGGGTTGTTTCTCGAAGTTTTCCAGTGTGGGCTTATAAAACTCTTATAGCCCGTGAATGATGGTAGAAAAAAAACACGTGTAGATGGAAGTAAAAGTCGAAATCGTTTCCACGGATAAATATTTGAGGTCCCCCTTCCCTATGACTCAGTGAGTCATTAGGAAACAGAAGGCAAAAAGATTGTCAAAACAAAAACACTAATTCCAACAACAATGCCCGGAACGTGAGCCGTTCCTACACCCCTTCCTATCAGCTGGATTCTGTCCAGCTGACCCTCCTATTGATGTGTGTCCTTCCATTGGGAGGAGAATGGGGACAGGATGTGACATGTGCCTGCAAGGACTTCGTCGTCAGGTTTCTCCCTTTCCTGACAAGTCCAGTCCCTGCCTTTTGAAGAGGGAACAGGTTACTAGAGTTCATGCTTCCTCCCCGGGAAGTTGTTGGTTTGATGGGGGACCGGGCATGTAAGCTGCACTTCCCCAATCCGAGACGCTCGGTTGAGGAGCTGTAGAGGGATTTAGGGGCGATCACACCTGGGTGTTGTGAGGAGGAGGCTGTGGCAGGTGGTGGGCTTTCCCCTCCTGGAACGAAGCTTTCAGATGCTAAGCAACGTTCAGGGTAAAGTTATGTCGCTGCAGGTCTTTGCCTGATAAAATGAGAGCATGTTTTTTATCCTTTGTGTTCTCTGAGTACGAGCTGCTGAAGATGGTCTTTCTTTCATTAATAGGTAATTATATGGATCTAAGTTAGAATGAAACACTTTAGTATGTGTTACTGTATGTATTTGGGTGAAGGAAAAGTCTCACTTGCCTCTGTTGCAGATAAAACGAATGGAGTCGTGCCGTTTAGCGGGAGAGGCCACGTCCTGGGAGAAACAAACAACCTCCTGTCCTCTGGGAGGTTCGCCACTTCACGTGCTAATAAAACCCAGGACCCTTCAGGTCCAGACCACTCAGCCAGTGCTGAGAGATGGAATGCGAAAACGGAGGTGAAATTTGAACAGAACGGTTCCAGGAAAAAAACAACGGCCTCCCCTGTGCTTCACACCAGTCGCCAGAGCGTGGTGAGCAACTACTTCCCCCGAGCGTCCGTGGCCAACCAGAAGGCGTTCAGGAGCGTGAGCGGGTCCCCCACGAAGGGCGCCGCGGTGGGCGACATGGGGAAGAGCTCTGCCTCATCTGCTTCTCAGAGAAGGACTTCCTCCTCCAAGGCCGCCCTCAGGAACTCGCTCAAAGCCGGGGAGGCGATGTCCGCGACTGCGTCCCGGGCGGAAGCCGAACCCCCCAGGAAACAGCGCCGGCGGGAAGACAAGACGGCTTTTGACAATTTTTTCATCAAGAAAGAGAAAACGCGAAGCGGCGGCGGCGATCCCCAGTGCAGCTCACGCCCTGCGGCTGCAACGCCGAGTTCCAGCAGCTCCACCAGCCAGAGCACAACAGTGGCTTGTCCTGTGTGTCAGGGTGAGGTGCTGGAGGCTCAGATCAACGAGCACTTAGATGTGTGCCTTGAAGGCGAGAGCAGCAAAGTCAAAAGAAGAAATCTTTAAAAAGAATGGGTCTCACACACCAGCAGTGTGACCTCACCATTCGTGTCAGTCACTCAGGAAGTTCTGGGAAATACTAAGATGTGTAGGTTATAGTCTAGCTGTAGTCCCCAACAGATGTTCTATTTTACATATACCTACGACACTGTAATGTAAAATATTTGTCCAAGGTGCTATATTTATATTCCCTCGTGCCTTACGTATACTGCAGCCCAGCTCTGCGTGTTTACATGCATAGTTTTCAGATACTCTTCTTTCTTGCTCTTAAAGGTTTTAAATATTTTAATCTTTTTGTGTACTTCCCTCAAAATATTTAGTGAGGAATTAAATATTTGGTTAAATTGAGTATTTATTAATATTAAAACTCATTCCTAGTACTGTTCATGTGTATAGTGTCAAGCATATTGACCAAAACACAATCTAGAATACAAAGGTAGCTGTGTTAGGGTACTCAAGGTTATTTAAAAAACTTTTTAGATTTTTTCCTCCCAAATCTTAACAGGAAATACATTTTATATACTTGAATTTTATTTGTTTGACTTTGGTGGTAACTGATTTTAGGTGAAAGTAGATATCTTTTGGAGTATTACTAGTCAAATAGCCACTATGATTTTCTAGGCCAGAGTTTAGTTTTTTCAAAATTTAGCAAAATGTGTGGCTAAAACTTGGTGCTAAGTAATTAATATATATAACAGAGCAGAGTTAGTTGCCTAGTTTATGCGACAGTGAACCATTGTCTGAAAGTAGTAGTATGACGCTATAAGCCAAAGTTGAAACCATTCTAATAATAGGAATATTTTAGCAAAGGAATATTTTAGTGAAGGAACCTACTTTTATCAGTTTACTTCTGTCTCCTGGCTATTCCTCCAGCATATTGGCATATTCCTAAGACGTGAGTTCCCCAGTTTTCTTTCTTCTGAACTTGGGTGCAACATGACTTGTATGTACATGAGGCGCAGAGATCCTCGGGGTGCAGCTGGGGTCCTCGTGGTGCCTCTACCCAGCTAACACCCACACTCCCTGAACGTGACCACTGTTTTCTTCTCTCACCACAGGTTGGTTTAGCTCGTTTCTGAACTTCATAAAGTAACCTTTGTTGATTTGTGTAGCATAAGTTCATTCTTTTTTAAAAATTGCTCTGTAGTATGTATGTGAATATGCCAGCATGTATACATCCATTCTAAATTAATGGACGTTTGAATTACTTCCCGTCGGAGCTGGCGATGACGAATAATGCTGCTAAGAACATTGTCCTTTTCTTGGGCATGTACCCAGGATCGGCTTGCGGGCTCACAGGGTGTATTTATGGTTAGCTATAGTAGATGTTGCCAGTTGATGCTCCTACCAGCAATGTGTGAGGGTTTCAGTTGTCCAGTTAACACTATTATCAATCCTTGTCATTTTAGCCTATCTGGTTAACAGTTCACAAGTTTTGATATTTCTCAAGTATGAAGTTGAAAAGTATTTAATAAATATAAATTACTTAAAATGTGTGTATTATGAATATATGTGGTTACACAGGAGACAAAGGCAGGTTAATTTCCATATGGTAAGTGCTGCCAAGGTTCCCACCAGGTGCTGTGGGACTTAGGACATCGGGGGACAGCCCAGGGCTTCAGGGGACGTTCCTTGGAGATGACATCCGAGTTGCTCTAGGGCGAGACAAGTTGGCCTGGTAAGAGGATGGAAAGAGTTGAAAAGAGAAGGAACAGAAAATGCCAGGAAATAGAGCAGCCCATTCTTCCTGAAGAACTACGCTGCTCCACAGGAATAGAGTGAATGTGAGGGACATAGCGAGAATTTTGAGGGCAGCGACCCTATCTTACGTTGTCCGTGTGGTCCCTGAAAACACACCTGTTGGTTCAGGTGGGGCAGCGCACCTGGGACTCCAGCTTGTAAGCCAGTCAACATCTGAGAAGTGTCTGATGGATTCTCTGCGGGCAACACAGACGGGGGTAAGAAAGCAGTGGGATGGAGGATGGAATGGAGAAGTATTTAGGTGTAAAATCGAGCTGCTCAGTTTCAAGCAATGATGGAAGAAATATGGTTAGCTATAGAGAATACTGAAATTAAATTTGTAACTAAGTCTTCACTTTAACCTGCTAAATTACTTTTTAAGAATTCTGTTACTCCCAAATCTGAGTCATTTATCAAAGAAATAGTTTTCTGTTCTATTGATTGAGGTTCTTCCCCTTTAAAGCAAACTTCCTACCCTAATACGGAGCTGGTGATTCTGGGTCCACCTCTAAACGCTGTCTCCCTCGTTTAGGTAGATGGGGAGTACACTTCATTTGGGATTTCTGAAGTCAAGGTTATACGCTACCTAGCAAAACTATCTCTAAAGTTAGTGTTTTGTCTTGATGACAAAAAACTTCTCTGGCTGTTCCAAAGCTCTGAGACTTTTCTACGAAGCTGATAGGGTTTTTAAGTAAATTAGAAAGTCAACGTGAAACAGCCGCTGGGTCTTGGCAAACGTGGTGCCCAGCTGTGAGCCCAACGCCCACCCAGCATCGCGTCTCATTGGGCTGCGGGAGGACAAAGCTAAACGCTGTGGTTTGATCATCTTTACTGAGAGGCAGTCGTTGCCTTTCTAGCAATCTGTTGTGGTGGCTGACTAGCAGCAGAGCCACCAGATGAGGAGAAACTCTAATGTACAATCATCACAGGTCAGATTGCCTCAGGAGTGGAAATGAACAGAAAAGGGTGCGATGTGGAGATTAGCTCTGGCTTGCCTTTATTTTTTCTGACATTCCACTAGAATATTGTAAGTTGTATGACCACATACTTCATCATCACATGAAATAAAAGGTAAAAGACTTAAGTGACTCTGGAACTAAAGTTTACAACCTGTGTATTGTGATGCAGAAACCTGCTGGCGATAAACCTACAAGATTTACCCTCTTGTTTACTGAACACCAGGTGGCGCTCTTGGTAAGTGCAATTGCTCGGAAATACCCCAGGGCAAAGTAAGCCCAAAGGATCAGAGAGAAACTTGCCAACAGCGGTAACAGTAACTGCCAGTTCTGATTCACAGAAAGGAAAGGATAGCTCATGATCTCAGGTCCAGGGAGAGGGACACAGCAAGCCAAGGACTCATCTACAGGGCACCTTCACCTCCCCAAACATTTCACCTTTCACTCAACACAAGAGTCTTATGCAAGAAAGAAACCAGGACTCACATATAGCAAAACATGGTAATGCCCGGCCGGTGTGGCTCAATGGTTTAGCACCAACCCATGAACCAGGAAGTCACACAGTTCGATTCCCGGTCAGGGCACATGCCTGGGTTGTGGGCTCGATCCCCAGTGTGGGGCATGCAGGAGGCAGCCGATCAATGATTCTCATTGATGTTTCTCTCTCTCTCCCTCTCTGAAATCAATAAAAACATTTAAAAGTATAAAATATTTTAAAAATAGATACAAAAATGAAAACTGAGTAAAGGTAATCATGTGAAAATTAAAATGTTTACAAAAACAAAGCACATGGTAGTGCCCAACAGGAAGTCTGCCGGACACGGAAAGCCAGGCTTTCCCACTGTTTCTGAGATCACACTCTCCTCCTTTAGCATGTCCGTCACAGCTCTGTGTCCTCTCAACTAGTCTGGAAGTTTCCACTGGGTATGTCCTTTGCCCCTGCATTCCAGGCTAAGAGACCAAAGAGGAGCCTCTTAGATTCTTGGTGTGAGCAAGTGCGATGGCTGGGCATTTCTCAAATTCCATGATTATCTGCTTTTCACAGACACCTTAAGGAGCACCGGCTCTTCTCCACAGTTCTCCGAAAAATCAAGGTTTGCCTATTTCCAACCTAGATTCCTCGTAAGACACAAACCCTCCCAGTTGTCAGCATTCCTCGCCAACTACATACAGTTGACCCCTGAACATGGGTTTGGACAGTGCGGGTCAACTTACACATGGATTTCTTTTTTCAATAAATACTGTATTTTCCTGATGGTTTAAATTTTTTTCTCTAGCTAACTTTATTGTGAGTATACAGTCTAGAATACGTATACAAAATATGTCAATCAACTGTTTGTTATTGGCAAGTTTTGGGGGAGCCGTTACCTGTCATTTCTGACTGGGGATTGGTGCCCCTGCCCCCTGCACTGTTCAAGGGCCAACAGCGTACGAAAATCCGCATCAGCGTTAAAAAAACAGAGGGTATTTGTTCTTCTACAAGAGACTCCTTAGAGGACTCGCTTACGTATTTGCATACATTTATAACAATTCAATAGACACATATAAATGTGCTTCCAAGCAGGCCTGTGACTCACCCGCAGGCTGTGCGTCTGCAGACTGCTGCTCCTCAGTGCTGGGCAGGGATCACGGTGTGACCCTCCACAGTGCACCTGTGTCCATCCCTTCTGTTTTGAACTCTTGGCCGCTTTCCTCTTTCTTATATCTCACTGTGTTTTCAGGTGCCACTATTCTTTGTTGGGTACTTTATAACTTCATGTTAATTTGAGATAATTTTGTCTTTTCCTATTTCTTTGCCGAGTTACATCAAGCCTTGTTTCAACGCTCCCTGAGGTTTCTCTGTTTCCTCTTTGGGTCCATTTTTGGTGGAGATTTTTCATTTTCAGTTCGATTTCTGCAGTCCTGTGGGAGGTGAGGTATTTCCTTCAGACCCGGGGTGGTTCCAGTTCTCTTCTGCCAGTGGCTGGCGAGACATGTCCCTGGGCTGTGTGGATCCCGTCGCTTCTTCTCACAGTGCTCACACCACCTGTCTTCCTTTTCCTGTTTGAAAGGCACTGCAGTTGGCTCTCGGTAGCAAGGACAGGGGTGTGTGGCTTCTCTCATCTGTTGGGACGGTGCAATACAGCATTTCTTTGTGAGGTGAGAGGGTTTGGAGTCTCCTCTGAGGCCTTTATTTTAGTTTTCGCTGCTTCTTTCACTTTCCCGTCAAGCCTCTAGGAGGTACCTTCCCCTCTCCCAGAAATGGGAGGCTCCCCAACAGGCGAGCTGTGATCTCAGGAACTCCCAACATCCGCTTCTCGTGCAGCTGGTGTCGGATTCATCAGCGCTTCCTTCCCTCGCGGTGGGGTCCCTGCTGTCCCGTGAACGGCCACGCTGGCCCCATGGCCCTCACCCCTCCACCAGAGCTTCCACCTGACTCCACCCTCCCGTGGGTCCTGGTGCGTGTTCTCTGCTGTCACGGAACTGTTTCTCGTGTCTCGGTGATGCTGCAGGGACAAGGGAAAGGTGACGCTGTTCCCCGGTCTGGATCGTGTCGGGAGGATTACGCAAGATTCGGATTTAGGCAGCTGCCAATATTTATTGAAAACCCACAAGCCCAAGTACCTTCCCTTAAACATGAACACACAGCAAGAACGACCAGACGTGCGAGGAGAGTGTCCAACAGGAAGGGCAAAACCGAAAACCAACAGGAAGGTTGAAGACTATCCATTAAATGGAACACCTTATGTGTTTTTTTTAAAAATGGAGAGAACAAAAGAAAGCCCTGGATTAAAACCCAACAGCAGACATGAAACTCCTGCTGGGAAAACGGGGGTGGGAGCGGGATAGGAGTCTCCAAAATAAAGGACAGATATGCAGGCCCACCAGGAGGTACTCCACAACGAGCCAAGGATGCAGGAGAGAAATAATATCATTTAAGAAAATGTTGGCGGGGCGGGGGTGGGGGAGGTCAATGGGGGAAAAGGGAGACTTACGTAATACTTTAAACAATAAAGAATTTAAATTAAAAAAAGAATAAAGAAAATGTCCCCAAATGTAGGGCACACACGCAGGCCCACGCCAAAGCACACGGGAAGCCTACAGTGCCCTGGGACCAAGGGCAAAGCCATGGGCGTCCGACCGCAGAGAAAAGGCAGGTTACACACACACAGCCGGCCAAGGCTGCAGACGGCTCAGCGCCCACCTGCCACCTAGAAGCAGGGAGGCGATGCCTTCCAAATCCTGAAGGAAACTCATGGCCAAGTTGGAACTGGGAACTCAAATGAGCCACGAAGGGGACAACAGACACTGGCCTGGGAAAACTCGCCACCACGTGGCTCCACAGGAAGCGCTGAGGGCACCCGTGCCAGACCGAGGAAGTAAACCCAGAAAGAGGAAGCGTGGGGTCCAGGAAACCCAAGATCCAACCGAGCGGGGAAGGGGCCCCCGGAACAATGGGGAGAGGCGCCTGAGGAAGACGGCGCTCAGCCCCCATAAAGGGCGATGGCTCCACAAGCCCTGCCCCAGGTCGGAGGCTGCAGGGAAAAGAGGGAGGAACCGAGGCAGGAAGGAGAACAGTCCACCGTGGAAGACAAGTCACCCTGGTTACTAACACGCGTCTCAGCTTTAAGTGAGCTCGCAGTCTATTAACCTGGTGTGAACCCAAGTTACAGCGCGATTACATGAGGAAGAGGGGGGATGTGGCAGGAGCTCGACAAGCAGCTGGGGCTGCAGAGGCCTGTGCGTGTCTCCCATGTTGGAAGTTAGAGATCACGCCTGGGGCTGCAAAATCGAGGCGCAGCGATGTCGCAACGGAACTCAGAACCGGGCAAACGCCCAGGGATCACTTCGGCAGCCCCGACGCTGAAACGGAACGATGCAGAGAAGGTTAGCACGGCCCCTGCACACGCATGACACGCGAATTCATGAAGCGTTCCCCTTTTTTTTTTAACAAAAGTCACTTCTCTGGTCCTGTTTTATTTGTAAGTGGAGATCAAGATTGCTCTGCTTGGTGTGTCCTGGGGAAAAATTGTAAAGGTATTTTATAGAACACCAAAGAAATAGAGTGATTTGGGCAGGAAAAGTCTTCATCTCGATGCAAAGGAGACCTTACACCCAATAACCTCTGACACCTTGTTCAGAGCTCAATCCATTCGATGAAAGGAGCGTTAGCTGCCTGTAGCTGTGTGCGCGCTCCCTGTCTTGGGAAGTGGCCTGTGTCCTCTACTTACAAGTCTTCCAGCTCACGAGGCCCTGCCCTTTATATTCATCACTGACCCCATGGCAGATCCTTGAACATGGCCGTGTTTCAGGTGAAACTGACTAGCTGGCGATGATGAAAAGAATCTGCATTAAAACCAAAATCGGAATCCGGGGGATGTATCCCTGACCTCAGATGTCCCCAAAACCATCCTTGAAGCACTAAGACTGGGTGTTTCTAAACAACTGAATGTTTTTAAACAACTGAAAACAAGCTAATGTACAATTATGTTATTAAACATACGGTACACAGTTCTCATCCTTGGCCCAGGTGCCCCTTGGGCAATCTGTATTTCATTAGGTCTTACACGACTAAGTCTGTAGCTATTGTGCTTAAAATGGCTCTAAGTGTCACACAATTAAGTGGCTGAGCCAGAACTAAACAGATTGGTCAATTCTGTCTGCTCTTTTTACTACACTGCCTAATTTAATTAGTCTTCATCTCGAACTCATTTGTCCTCTCCTTGAATTCACCCAGCTGCATTTCAGTACAATTTTCCAAACGCCCTAAGATGGGCTGGGGGGGGGGGGGGCCCACACTAAAGGTATTTAAAGGAGAGGTAAGTGAAGATGTCCACTGATCTCCTTTTATAAGAGCTCATACAGTTTAGTCGATGACACACAAACTCATAACTACTCCCACCCAACAGGACACCTCTGACAATTAGGGACAAAGGGCCAATGCCCCGTCCTTTTGCAGCACAGGGCGACACCGGTGTGCTCCAGAGCATGAGTGTTAGCGTCGTTCTAAAAATCCTATTCAAAGGGGCAGAACCCGAACGTTGAGAATCTCAGCACAGAGCTCAGGGGCCCCACGGGCAGCGCAATGACCCCCAGGATGCCTCTCACATGGGCCCCCCCATGTTTACTGGTTTCCCTCTTTCCCTGACCATTTACAGAAAGTGACAGCCAACATTCTGAACCACGCCAGAGGTGTGGGATAGGAAAGCACAGTATGGGATACAGAGAAAGTCGGTCTCTGAGAAAGGATTAAAAAACAGGAAAAGACAGGTGGAAATAACAAGCATACTTTTTTCCCAGGAACGTTTATACATCACTTTAATTAGATTAGCTTTACAAGCAGCTTGGGCGCTCTTTCATAATGCAACGCTGCTTTTCAAATTACATGACTTTGCACGGTCTACGCATGAATCCTGAGATTCTTTGCCTGTTTATGAAGGTCTGTGCTTTACAGCTGGTTAATGTGTTGAATAAAAACAGCATTAGAAGCTTTGTCTTTAACCAGGATTAAACACATAGAGGCCACAAATAATTTTAAATTTTGTTTTGAACAAGAGTCCTGCTTGGTGACAACGTCACGGCCCCACTAACAAGAAACGAGCAGATTTTAAATGGACATTAAAGAAATGGCTATTCTGGTTCTTGATCCTTTCACAATGACCTCCAAGGGATTACATAAACTCCTCCCCCAAACTACAAAGGTCAGCCCTGCCTGGCAGCACAGCCCACCTAGCAGAGCTGCAGGTGGACATTGGAGCGTGACACGGGGCTCCCAGGCTGGGAGGCTGTTGCTGAGTACCCTGACAGTCAGACAGACCTCCCATCCACACAGCACAACCTGCTCGACACCTAACGAGGCAGCGCACGCTGAGACCAGCTGGCTGGGACGCCCCCAGGCCGGCTGCCGAGGCACTAGCTGTGGAGGTGTTACACTGCATGATCGGGATGAGGAGAGGAAGTGGGACAAGACTGAAGACGGGCTATGAAAAAGACATAAACTGCAGCTTTGTCCTGCAGTTCTCCGCAGTGAGGCCGCGACACTGAGTATCAGTCCCCCCCTAGATCCACACTGTTGGTTTCACTACATTTTTTTTTCATGTTTTACATGAACAATATTGATCTTTTAATACAAATTACTGAGCTTTCCATAGAAAAAGTCTCTACGTGAATACAAACAATACAAATGCTTAAAACTGTTGTCAGCGGAAATATACAGAAGTATTTCTGTACACTCACATTGTTTTGGCCAAGAAGATCAAGGACAGATAGGAAACCGAAGTGGGCCTTCCACCCATAATGCGTGCAGGATACGGGTGCCACCCTGTGCGCTTTGCCTAGGACACCCGTTCCGGTTCATACATTATGTGGCCAAGTCTGGGAGGCCTTGTGTGATTTCGGAACATTCCCTCTTTTTCTGAAAAGTAAAAAGGAAAACTCACACGTGAAATGATCTTGCTGTTCCCTTCTTTTGATTTTCCACTCGAACCACACACCTTTTGGTGATCAAGAGGCCAGCCTCACGGGTGGGGACCCCCTCAGCAGCGGACTGAGGTGTCACTAACATCCCCTCTGTGACAGGTCAGTTTTGAAGCACAGCCTCCCCTAGAGGCTACCCAAGGGGAACCAGGTTCTGACCTGCAGGTCGGGGGGTGGGGGCGGGGGGTGAGGGTCATAGGAACAGGAAAACGTAATAGCAAAGCTCAACATGCAACCAACCATTTGGGAAGCCCAAGGAAAAGCCCTAGAAGGGGCTCTTCTATCTATAGCAGCGTGGCCAATGGTTGGTCCGCGGACCCTGGTGGTCCTTGAGGTCTGAAAGGCTGGCGACCGCTGCTCCACAGGACACACCTGAGAGCTTAGGAAAGCCCTTTATCCCGGGAACGTGAGGCTGAAGATACCCTCAAGTTCACGTAGTGCCAGTCACTGTAGCTTTTTAAAAAAAAATTTAACTTAAAATATAAACCTGTATTTTTCTTATTGTGTATTTTTTCTTAGAAAACATTCGGAACTAAAAGTTATTGGTAGTAAATGGTGATGGTTTTACTGTTATGTTTCATTATTAACAATGTCAACAAAAACAACAGAAGCCATGTTTAAGAGTTCAAATTAGTGTAAGACAGGACTACAAAAAATCCGATTTTTCAGCTGGTAATTAAAGTGCTCCTTCTTGTAAGTAAAAAGAAAATTAATTGTCAGTCACTGGCAGCAATCATTATAAGAGGTCTTTTAGGGCAAAATTTAATAGTACGAAGAGGTTTACAAAAATAGATTGATGCTATTTTGGGGGACAATGCTGTAATTTTTTCTCAATTCAGTTTTGATAAATTGTACCTGATCATACAAAAATTACTCCAAATTCGAACTTGACTATATAAAAAAGGGAGAGATGAAATGAACTCAGCTAGATGGCAGATCTGACAAAATGTAAGAATGAAACAATGCTACCGAGGGCACTTATCATGTCCGGGGTAGAGACCATTCTCAGCTGGTAGCTTATATTCTTCCATCAGCAATCACAGGTTTGGAGTCAGTCATGCAGTACAAAGCCACACGGTCAAATCTTCCTGATGCAACACCAAAAGGTTGTTTCCGTTTCCTTATGAAAATGCCAACTGGTTGTCTATTTTTCTTTATCCCATTCATTTGTAGTCACAAGTTAACAAACAGCGCCAACAGTCACTGGAGGTGAAGGAGGGTATTGCTGGATCAGTCTCTCTATAAGACGTCTTTACTGATCGAATCAGAAGGTTTATTTAGTTCAACCCTCACACCTTTTTCACCTGCAGGTAAAACAAAAAACAACAAAAATTCATTCATCAAGCACCAGCCAGCTGCTGTCACTGCTTCCCACCGAGTTCCTAACGGCATGCACAGGTCTCAACTTCGCAAACACACGTCATCTGAAGACTCACACCGTCACTTCCAAAAGCTACGCTGGGCACTGCCCTGTGACGAATGCGTTACTCTGAGCTAGCAAACCTTCGAGGGGAAAAGACCTTCTCTACACAGAGATTTGCCTTTTGATTTAAAAAGTAATTAACTTGTTATAAAAGAGTAGTGTGTTCCGCATCACTGAAAGCACACACACTACTGGCTCTGCCAAAAATGATGACTTGAAAACCTATGAACATCCGATCTTTATAGTTTCATAAAAGGAGGATCTGGGATTAATAGGCTCATGAAAACACAGCTAGTTCATCAGCAGCGTGAAGACTGAGCAGACTTGTGGAGATATAAGGTTAGAGAAAGGACAGGTGAGGGGTCCGTCAGATGGGAACTAACCGGCAGCTCTGGGAGACAGGCCCTAAGGGGGGCAGGGCCGGCATCCTGAGGACCCTCAGGCTTAGCACAAGGGTGCCGCCCTACGGCCACCGTGGCAGATGCCAACTCCACACGCCTGTCTGTGTTACTGATGCCGGCATGTCCACTCCTCGCCTTTGTGTCATTTCTCTTCACGGCCACGTTAGCCAGGAAGGCCTGGAGAGCTCGGTAGAGCATTACGTTTAAAAAGGAAAAGACGTTAACTTCCTTCTATGGGCACCGGGAGAGGAAGCCCATGGCAGTTGCCGGAGCTCAGCAGCTTGCAACTGAGCAGGATAATCACACAGAAACTCGGCTTGGGTTGTAATTTTCTCAGGCTTCTGTGCCTCAAACGTTCCTATTCTTTGGACCATGTTTTTGGTTAAAGATAACACTGCAGCCGACTTAAGAGAAGTCCTCTTTGAAATCAGGGAATCAAGGACTCTGACCAAACAAGGACCGTGGGCATTGTCCTTCCAGTGCACCCTGGCCCCAAATGCTGTTTACCTGTTTGATATTTTACTTTAGCTCGGGCTCTCTCATCTGCATCAAAATACCAAACAGTTATTGCGTACCTAAAAGAAAATTTAGAATAGGGTAAGAATGATCACACTGGGGAGGTGCATGCTGTTGCAATGGTCTATAGAACGTGTCATGGCAAAACAACGTCTCAGTCGGAAAGTTACCAGGACAATGAGCAATGAACCCCCCACTCAGCCAGCCTCTGTGATGCTCAAGGCTGATGCCCAAGAGCTCAGCAGGGAAGCAGGGGCAGCTGAAGGGGGGGCCCAGGGAGGAGTTTTATGGCTCCTGGATGCCGCCTGAGCTGCATGATGATGGTCGGCCAGCCCACAGCCGACACACAGGCACTGAGGGGTAAAGACGGCCGCGGCACCTTCCCGAGCAGGGGCTCCGGGGGCAGAGGACAGCCGAGGACCCAGGGCTGCGGCTCTGCAGGGGCAGGGAGGACAGCACTGCATGACCGTGGAGAGTCAGGATGGATGCTCACCATTTTATAACCTCGAGTCACCAAGAGAGATTTCAATGATGCTAGGAATTTTTTAGGACTTTTATCGTAACAGTTATACTGTCTTTAGACATACAGCTTAGCTAAACTTCATCTTTCTGAAATTTTTTCACTTATTGGGAATATATTCCACAAATAAATGAGGAACCTCTGGTTTATTAAATACTATCCAGGACATAGTTACCCCTTTTGGTACCAAAAATGGGGGAAATGTACACACACTTCCTGACCGCGTGCTGCAGTCACCTCCTTAAGAGAACACAGCAGCCCTAACCGGTTTGGCTCAGTGGATAGAGCGTTGGCCTGCGGACTGAAGGGTCCCAGGTTCGATTCCGGTCAAGGGCATGTACCTTGGTTGCGGGCACATCCCCAGTAGGGGGTGTGCAGGAGGCAGCTGATCGATGTTTCTCTCTCCTCGATGTTTCTAGCTCTCTATCTCTCTCCCTTCCTCTCTGTAAAAGAGAACACAGCAGGCGGGTAAAGCACCTTGCAGATTCCGCCAGGATTCATTGGGGGAAAGCAATCCCGATCGCATGAAGAGCCAGTACATGGGACAGAGCTAAATCGTGTAAAATATTTGAAGTGAAGAGTCAAAGGCAGAGCAGAGTCTGAGAGTTTGGACAACTGGGGAAACAGAGGCCCGTGGCCCTCTCAGACGGTGAGGGACAGGCCTGAGGCCGCAGTCCAGCCTCTGCTCTTCCCCACACCTTTCTTAACATCTAGACTCTTCTATTTTTCCGAGGCCTTGGTAAGAGGAATGGGGCACAGGTATGTGGTTTCTCTCTCTTTCGCCCATGCCCCAAACTTGGAGTTTCTTAGTCATCACAGTTCTAGATACTGGATCACCTCCCCTCTGGCCCTCAGTCCTGACCTGCAAACACTGGTAAGCCACCACATGGATCTGTTTCTCCCTCATCTCCCCCGGCCTCCGTAAGAACCCTCACAGGAACCTCTGCACTGGAGCTGGGCGGCCTGGCCCTCCCCCCTAGGCCCGAGGGACACCACTGTCCTTGCTTCCTGACCTCCCAGGCCAGCTGAGCTCTTCTTTCTGCTGGACACGGACCTTTCTCACCAACTCACACACTGTCCCCCCTCCAAACGCCTGTGGCCCTTCCCCCCATATCGCCTGGCAATGACTTCCTTTACTACCTAAAAATGTCTGTTACCTCTTCCTCTAGAAAGGATACAAACAGACCACACTCAGGACTCCATGAAAAGGAAGGTCTGTGAAGCAGTTTCTAGGTCAGAAAAGTTCTAAAGAAGCAGCTGGGCCTGGCTGGCGTGGCTCAGTGGTTGAGCGTCGACCTATGAACCAGGAGGTCACGGTTCAATTCCCAGTCAGGACACATGCCTGGGCTGCAGGCTTGATCCCCTGTAGGAGGCGTGCACGAGGCAGCCGATCAATGATTCTCTCACCATTGATGTTTCTCTCTCCCTCTCTGCAATCAGTAAAAATATGTATTTTTTAAAAAGCCTGCTCTTCCCCGGTGTCTGAGAATGTGCCTCTTGTCACCGTATCAAGCAACTGCATGACAGTAATCCACTATCATGATGTTCAAAGTCCTTTTGATAATAAAAAATAGGTATTTAATACATTGTGCTATTTTTCTACAAATATTATTTTTACGTCTGTATCATCTTCCACTTTAAGTCTTAACAACTGAGCCACAATAAATGCAAAAAAAGAATTTAATAAATACATTAAACAGCATACTAGTTATAGAATATGAAACCTTGTTTAAAAATATATATATAACTCCCACACATGACAGCCTTTCTCTCCTCTATTCGTTTTTCTCTTCACTTCTGCTCCCTGCTCTCTGGTTTCTCTCCTTGGTATATTCTCCAACATCATCTCTCTCTCTTCCCCCCTCCCCACCTTTTGAAAAGCTCCCTTTTCCTTCTCTATCTGTTCTTTCTATTCCAAGTGGATGCAGTTGACCCTGAACCACACGGGTTTGAATGGCATGGGTCCACCTACATGCAGGTTTTTTTCAAAACGTACTGTAATATATTTATCTTCCTTGTGATTTTCCTTAATAACATTGTCTTTCCTCTGGCTTACTTTATTGTAAGAATACAGGATGTGATACATATAATGTGCTAATGGACTCTGTTATCACTAAGGCTTCTGGTTAACAGTAAGCTATCAGCAGTTATGGGTTTTGGGGGTCAAAAGTCACATACGGATTTTTGATTGCCTGGGAGTCTGTACCCCTTTACCCACACACTGGTCAAGGGCCAACTCTACTCTCAAGAGATCATAGGAGGGTGAGTAGTTAAGAAATGGACAAACAAGGAGATGGGGCTGGAAAGAGGACAGGGCCCGTGCGTCCACTTTTACTGCAAACAAGGAGCGGCTGTGCAGTCACATGCAGTACTAACTGTGAACAGATCTTATAAAATTACTCACATTCAAAGTTATGACCGAAGCATTACAATACAAGTCACTGAAGAACACGAAAATACTCATTAGAAAACTCAAGTTTATCTTATCTACCCCCTCCGTCCTGCCATCATCTTAACAATTGTTTCTTAAAGGAATACTACCTTGTAGCATATGCTGGTTGTACTTCATGAGGGTTGCGGCGGTCAGACCAGAAAAACAGCAGTCTATCAAATTTGGGTTCAATGTCAGCAAACTGGGCTTTGCCTTCTGGAAAAATTCGAAGTATACCTCCACTTACCTAGGAAAAGAGTCAAATATCTAAGTGTGAACAACCAAGAATGCTATAAAATTAACTTTAAGGGGAGAGGGGAGTTCATTACAGCGACTCAAAATTCTTAACTGGATTCTTCACAGATATATCTCAATTAACAAGGTTTGAAGGTGAGTTGAAATGCACTGATACAAGAAAAAAATCATTTCCTGGGTTTTTGAAAATACTGGCTAAAACAGATGAGTATTATCTGAATCCAAAAGTCTTAAAATAAAGTTTTAAATTAGTAAACATTTCTTATTTATAGGGTGGGGCACAACTAGGTTTACAGTTGTTCATATGGAAAATCTATAATAATAAAAGTGTAATATGCTAATTAGACTGGACAGCTGAACAACCTTCCGGACAAGAAGCCGGGCTGTGAGGCCGAGGCAGCCGCTGCGGCTATGAGGGCCGAGCCCCTTGCACGAATATTGTGCATCAGGCCTCTAGTATTTTAATAAAACACTTATATAAAAGTTAAATTTTAGGTGAACACTTCAATATCTGAAAGTAAAGGAACCCACTTTTTGAGATGTATTATTAGTATTTGTTTCATTTTACAAAGATCTACGCCTAATACCTAAGACTGAAACAAATCTAAGAAATGTTTGACTGTTACAGGTGTTAAAGACAGTCCTACCTACGGGGAGCGTAAATGCCTGTGAGAAAGAAGAGTGTTCAATGAAGTTGCATACCTTGGCGTCCCAGTCTTTATTAAGATAATATATACATGTCACACATCTTCCATCTCCATTGGGATTATCAACATGACGCACATATCCCGTCCCATTGCCTGGGTAACAAGCAACCATGGCCTGCAGTGGTAATAAAGATGGTTTTGTAAGTCCATGCATGAATTAAAGGAGAAAACAGCTTATGAAAGAGATCTCTGGTTTTGTACTACTCTTACACTTAAACTGGGATCCCTCGGGCTGTCTAGCCCAGTCCCAGTCAGGGCCGGCCAGGGGGAGGACCGCGGGAGGTTGGCTGGCTGTGGGAGCACACTGACCACCAGAGGGCAGCTTCTGCATTGAGTATCTGCCCCTTGGAGGTCAGTACATGTCATAGCGACCAGTCTACCAGTCGTTCGGTTGACCGGTCCTAACAGTCGCTTAGGCTTTTATATATATAGACCCTTCTCTTTAATAAAAATATCACACACACAAAATATCACATTTTGTAGGCCAGAAGAGGCAAAGATACTGTGTTGACACTATTTTAGAGAACACCAGGTCTGCTGGTGAGCAATGGTGGTCTGTGGCTCCTGCTTCTCAGCACCAGGCTATGTAACTGAATGAATGGAGTTAACTGTTTACTAAAACAGAAATATTACTCACTTCTTAACTGCCTTCTCTAGAGCCCGAGTAGTACATGGAGGTACATGGGGCGACTGGTGGGCGATGCAGTGAAATGACCTTCAACTAGGGGCTGCGTTTATCTGTTTCCTTTATTTAAATGCCAACCGAGACTTTTAAAAAATAAACCAATAAAAGAGCCATAAAAGAGAAGTTTTAAACAACTGTTAATTAAATCTTATAATCCCCGTGATAGCTCAATGACCTCCATCTGAAGGTGTTATCTGAGGTGGCCATTACCACTGCAGCCTGATCTGGTGTCGCTGGCCCCCTTAGTTCTGCTCTGGTGATAGGGACTCTGCCAGAGGAGGAGGAAGGAAGGGAGAAGGGGGCGAGTGCTCCCAGGGCCTGCATTGAATCTGCATCTCCTGTCAGTGCCGCTCTGGGAAGGGCAGCAGCACTAGACGGACCAGGGATGAGATGGAAAACCTCCACGCACACCGGCCAACCAGGAAGCCCGTCAGTGCCTGGGCTCCGTGCTGGGACCGCCAACAGGAGCCCTTCCTCTTCATCACAGAGAAGCACGTAGTCCTGCTCCAGCAGGAAGAAGAGTCCCAGACACAGAGGAGCCCTCAGGCCCTCAGTCCCCAGGCCCTGCACCAGCCCCCAGGCCCCAGACTGGGAGCCTGAGGACAGGGAGAGCCACGCTCACCGGAAAAACCAGACTGTCAAGAAAAACTGGAGCCGGAAAAGAGCCAAGCTCCTGGAGGTCCGAGGGAAGAGGAATTTTGTAGGAAACCTGCAAAAATGTGGAAGGGTCATGAACTCCCTCAAATAACCGTGTGGCCAGGGAATGACCTAGAGAGACTTCATGGAGTGATCCTGCACGTGCTGGGACGTCCCCGCTGGGGTTCTAGCGACTTCCTTCTGGAAGCCGCATGAGATCTGGTGGCTACTGTGTATGTTTAAACGAGAATCCATATGTTAACAAAGTTATCCTGAGTTGTGGTTGGATAGTCAAGATTTAAAGTTCCTTAAATGTAGCATAGCTTTTCCAGTTTTAAAGTCATATTCATGCTCGACTTCTTAACTGGTAATTTGGTTGTGCTGGTGGACTTTATACACACGTGTAAAAAAGACTCTGATGTTGCCGGTTTTGCTTAGTTTGTATTGCGTATGCAGAAGACCCTCACATACTCTTATTCACAATATTTTTAGTAAATTCCGTTTCTTTTCTCTTAATCTCTTGGTAAAGCGACTAATAACTCCTTCTAAACGTGATTTCACCTGCTTAGGCACCTAAAGTCAGTAGCAGCATTAAAAATATTTACGGACACACGACAAAAAGAGTCAGCATGGTGTCCGTCTGAAAGGACTTCGCTGAAAAGAAAAAAAAACACCAGGCACACACAATACAAATGCTCAGCAAGTCATAGAGAGAAAAAGAAATCGGGAAAAAGGAACTACTCGTGTGGGACACAGCAATAGGACGAGGCCTGGAGCTACACACCTAAGCTTATCTTTAAAGGACAGATGAGATTTGAAAAACTGAAGGGAAGAAAAGCAAACAGTCTGAGCATAACAAAGGCAGGAAGCAGTTAAATGGCAGTGAGGTGTTTTCATAGGTAAAAAGAATTTGATAGACATAGGATATTAAGCAGAGGAAACAGGACGTAAAAGGTAACCAACAGTGAGCTCCCCTGGTCCTTGAGTGGGGACAGCCACAATGAGAAGTTTTAAGAAGGCAGCTGCCTTATCCTACGATTTGTACAAAAGATTATTCTTACAGACAAGTGTACTGCTGTGGTCTGTGGTGTCCCCTCCCCCACCTCAGACTCCTGTGCGGCAGCCCTGAGGCCCACAGATCCGAGTATTTACGGGAGGGCCTCTGGGAAGCGCTCAGGGGGATGCATGTCTTGTACGCTCTGGAGGGACCCCTGCCCCATCCTCCAGGACACAGCAGAGCTCCCTCACCAGGAAGGCAGCCCTCACGGGAGACCAGCAGGCTGCCCTGATCTCGGACTTCCCAGCCTCCAGGACTGGGAGCAGTAGCACGTTTCTGCTGTTTATAGGTTCCCCAGCCTGCGGTATTTTAGCCCGAAAGGACTACCAGGACACACCTGTAAAGGACACAATTATTCCAAGAGATGTCCATCAGATGCCTCATCCTCAGGATACGGAAATGGATCCCAGTCCATCAAGAAAAAGGAAAGGCTCCCCCCACCCCCCCCACGTGCTAGGGCCCGGGAGACGCCCAGTTATCCTGGGTCCTCCCCGAGCAGGACCGCACACTCTGGGCCTGGGGTGGAGGCCACGAAGGGTCTAGAGCAGGGGTGGGCAAACTTTTTGACTCGAGGGCCACAATGGGTTCTTAAACTGGACCGGAGGGCCGGAACAAAAGCATGGATGGAGTGTTTGTGTGAACTAATATAAATTCAAAGTAAACATCATTACATAAAAGGGTATGGTCTTTTTTTTTTTTTTTTTTAGTTTTATTCATTTCAAGCGGGCCGTAGTTTGCCCACGGCTGGTCTAGAGTCTAGACCAGGGGTCCTCAAACTACGGCCCGCGGGCCACATGCAAATACAAATATTGTATTTGTCCCCGTTTTGTTTTTTTACTTCAAAATAAGATATGTGCAGTGTGCATAGGAATTTGTTCATAGTTTTTTTTTAAACTATAGTCCGGCCCTCCAACGGCCTGAGGGACAGTGAACTGGCCTCGTTTAAAAAGTTTGAGGACCCCTGCTCTAGACCTTTGCTAGGGAAACAAGGCAGCCGCCCACCATGGAATCCTGAGGGAGGTTCCTGTCTGCCATCCCTTTGAGACACCAACTTTAAATGTTCCTGTTTCCCATTGGGAAAGCCTATTTAAACATAAGCAAAACAATTAAATACTATTTCCCCCTTTTTGATATGAAAATATACATGATTGAGGACATTCTTAAGATTAAAAAAAAACCCTAAATTTGTCTTTTACTCTGAGAATGAAAGGAAGGAAGAGGCTTGGGATGCCTCTCTGGAACCTGAAGACGTGTGTTTCTGGCCTTGGAAGGCGTGCGTTCAATATGAAGTTGAACCAGGAAACTTTTTTAAAAAAAATTTCCCTTTTGAACTAAATTATTTTAAAGCACTGATTCAAAGCTAAGAGAACTAACATTTTATGAGCTGTCACTGTACTATGTTTGCCCTGAACAAGAGGAAATGGTTTCCTAGCTGAAAATTCTATGAAAATACATTGCCTTGGGCTTACACTCTGCCCTTTGTAGTGTTGAGAGCTGACATTTAGTAAGAAGTTCTTCACAACAAACCTATGAGGTAGACAGACACAATCTCTCCATTTGAGACAGTAGAAAAGTGAACTGCAAGGAGAATAAACACCTTGTCAAGGTCACAGAGACGACGGGCAGAGGTGAGGCATCCAGAGTGGAATCGCCTCCTGGATTCTGGCTCAGTTCCTGGCTCAGTGAGGCTGTTTAGTCTGACCCAAGAGTTCAGATGAAATTGGCAACACAGGGTCCTAAGTGACTCCTAAGTGATACACACGTCATGCGTGATGCACGTACAGATGTACTGCGTAAGGTCTCTTCCAACTCTGCTCACACCTGTCCTCATTCACTCCCAAAGCACGGCCCCCCACCCCCATGCCTACCTGTGGTTTATATAAATCTAGCTCAAAAGGGGGAAAACCGGTCATGGAAAGAACTGGACTGAGAGCAAAGTAGGTATTTACTGGAAGAAAATTTTTAAACTTCAGATTTCAATTATACCTGCGTAGTTTATGTAAATCTCACTTCCTAAAGGTACAATTAAAAACTTTATAAAAAGTTATACATTTTGTTCATTGCATTAATTAGCATATTGCATGGGGGTAATGGAGAAGGGCAATCTATGTGCACTTAAATCTCTTGACTCTTTTGCTAACTTTAATGTTATAAATAACATATCTCACCATAAATAAACTCCGACTGTTTTGAGAGTAAAAATGTCAAGCCTGTATCCTGGCCAAAAAGAAACCAGCACTGAAAAGGAGACCCAGCGATAAGAAAAGGGCAGTTCTCCTGTCTGGCCGCTAGTGCACGCAGGGCCAGCAGGGCCATTCGGAAGAGCAGGATTCAGACCTGCTCCACCAACTCCAAGTAGGAAACAGCACCGTCAAAGGAAGCCCTTCACGAGCATTACGACAGCTCAGGGCTGACTTTATGGAGGAAGCAGTGTCTGAGCTACGCTTAAAAGAAGATAAAAGTTGGCAAAGAGGACATTTCCAACAGAGTGGGTCACATAAGGAAGTTTTAAATGCAAACACAGAACATACCTGGTGAGGAGGAAGATTCGGGTTTGCTAACGCACAGAGTTCTTGAGAAAGGGGGGGAAATCGGAAAAGCGAAGGGGGGCCACGTTATGGAGACACCTGAGTGCCTGCTACGGAGAACGGCCGTGATGCTGCGGGCAGAGGGGAGCCATTGCTTTCTGGGCAGGGGAGCAACATGATCACAACTGCTTCCGAGCATGACGAGAAGGAGGCAGTGGATTGGGGAAGGGACAGGAAAAACATGCCACGGAGAAGGCGAGTGAGAACAACACTTCAGCAGACCAAGCAATGACGTTCTGATACAAGGAGGGGCCTGGGCAGAGTGGAAGGGGGAGGAGAGAAGTGAAAGGACTTGGCAAGCACTTTCACAGACAGAGCAAGGGACAGGCTGCATCAAAGGGGGCCGAGAGGGTCTGTGTCTGGAGGTCGGGAAGGCGGGTTTGGGGGGGAGTTTACTTTTCGGACATACTGAGTTTGCCAGGCTGGTGGGCCATCCCGGTGGAGGTGTTCAAAACGCAGCTGATAATGTGAGTCTGGAACTCCAAAAAGAGGCCATGGCTGGAGATGCAGATTTAGGAACCATCTTCATAGGGGATGGCTGAAGCATGGGCTGCCAGAGATTGCCAAGGCAGAGAGTGGGGAGAGAAGAACAGAACAAAGGACAGATTCGCATGGAATAAGACATGGAGAATAAGAGCTCATTAGCTTTGTTGCTTTCCTGGTCACAGGAAAACGGTCAGACAACTGGTCATTAGTTGACTCATTGTAAGTGATTTTTGACTAATTGTAAATGATAAACATATAAAACAGAACTTATCAAGCATTTTTTGGATTTCTCCTTAAAATGTTTTTTAAAACTTTTTGCTATTATAAATAATATTGTAAAATAGTTTTAAAGCTCTACCATTGTACATATCCTTGATGCCTAAAATTAAATTCCTAGGAGTGAAATTATGAGCTTTAAAAATTTTTATTGCCAAAATTTTCTCTGGTTATATTAGCTTACTAGAGGCCCGGTGCACAACATTAGTGCACTGGGGGTTGGGGGGTCCCTCAGCCCGTCCTGTGTCCTCTCACAGTCAGGGACCCCTCGGGGGATGTCCGCCTGCTGGCTTAGGTCCAGGGTGTGGGCCTAAGCCAGCAGGTGGACATCCCCTGAGGGGTCCTTAGCGCTGCCCCAGAGGCGGGAGAGGCTCCCGCCACCTCCGCTGCGCTTGCCAGCCGTGAACCCGGCTTCTGGCTGAGCAGTGCTCCCCCTGTGGGGGTGCACTGACCACCAATAGGCAGCTCCGGTCATTCCACCGTTCGGTCGATTTGCATATTAGCCTTTTATTATATAGGATTATTAAATGAATCAAATTCAATAGTGATGACACTAAAGTAATTCTATGAGTTGATAATATCCACAAGATGATATTGTTAAAGAAGCTACAAAGCATGAATGAAAGATAGCTAGCCCCCAAACATCCCATATTGTTTTAGGAAAGAAAGAATTAACTTTTAGGATTTTGTTTTAAAAGCCTCCTATTATAGACTATATGGTAGATAAAAGAAATATCAAATAAGTAATAGCGCCCGACCAGCATGGCTCAGTGGTTGAGCATCAACCTATGAACCAGGTCACAGTTCAATTCCTGGTCAGGGCACATGCCCAGGTTGCAGGCTCGACCCCCAGTAGGGGGGGAAGGTGCAGGAGGCAGCCAATCGATGATTCTCTCTCATCACTGATGTTTCCATCTCTCTCTCCCTCTCCCTTCCTATATATTTTTTAAAAATAATAGCAACAAGTTACAATCTAATCTATGTTTACATCAATAAAAACTGTAAGTATAAGCTCATTTGTATGTGATTTGATCCAATCTTTCACATAGATACTAACTTATTTGTACACATGACTAGCTTTTAAAATTAACATCTAGGAGCATTTGAGATGTTGCTTCCTGGCATTTGTCATCGGTTTAGCTCAAATAAACTCTTTAAAATTTTAAAAAATAAACAAAATTAACATCTAAGGGTTTTGATTCTTAAAATGTACCTTAATTATATTAATGATTATTAATAAAATATTTATTGCCATTTGACTTCACTCTGCTAAGGGGAAGGTGTGAAGGGAGAAAGATCCTTTGATGGAGGGGTTCCCTCAGTTTGAATCACTTCATTATCCATGACCCTTATAAACTGACCAGTTTCTGTTTTCACAGAGCCAAGGCTATGTGCCAATTGCCCAAGCAAAACCAGATGCGTTTTCATTAAAAATAAGGTTCATTAAAAACAAGTCAAGAATTCTGAATCTAAGCTGAACTTTAACCAACACAATGAATGTGAGCAAAGGTTTAGAATTAAGGCAGCTGAGGCAAGTCTGAATACTTTGAAAAGGCACTGCTGAGAGTGAAAAATATAATCACTTCTTTAAAAGCTTCTTATAATAATCAATTACTCAACATTTCTTCTATTAATTAGGTCAGCATTATTCCAATGTCATAGCTGGAGAGACAGGAGAGGTGCTCAGTGACTTCCCAGGTAACTAGAATCCAGAGCAGTGCCAGCAGGTCCTGCTCCCATTCCTGTCCAGTCACCTGCCCCCTTACTGCTCCCCCTTCCCGAGAGATTTCCAGGATAAAGAACACCTGCAAGAATCTTTGGAGGAAACGTGCATGAGAAAAAACCTTACGGTTACTATGCAACACCAGGTCGTTCCTGAGAACTAGCCACAGGAACAAATTGCTCTTCCATATTTTAGAGACACTTCCTACCTGCACTACCAAGAGATGCCTCCGATCTAACAATTACAGAAATTATTAATAATATAAACAAAACCAACCGATATGAACTCTAGTTTCACTTTTGTTGAAAGTACTCCTCCACCCCAGCCCTCGTGTACTATCAAGTTTTCATTTTTTAAAAACTCAGATTAATCTTACTGCCAGTAACAAGTACAAAAACAAGGTAAGACACATGAACAGGAGCAGGGAACAGGACACTGTGAAGGGGTAGAGAAGTGGTTCTCAACCTGTGGGTCGCGACCCCTTTGAGGGTCGAACGACCCTTTCACAGGGGTCACCTAAGACCATCGGAAAACACAGATATAATTACATATTGTTTTTGTGAATAATCACTATGCTTTAATTATGTTCAATGTGTCACAATGAAAATACATCCTGCATATCAGATATTTACATGGCGATTCATAACAGTAGCAACATTACAGTTATGAAGTAGCCACGAAAATAATTTTATGGTTGGGGGTCACCACAGCATGAGGAACTGTATTAAAGGGTCGCGGCATTAGGAAGGTTGAGAACCACTGGGGTAGAGGGAAGAGGGAAAGAGGGAATAATATCAGAACCATTGCAGATAAAGTCTTTTATAAGAAAATTGCACAAACACAGCAGATATGCCTGGAACCATATGCTCCCAGGGAAGACCTTCTCACTGAGGTCATGGTTTCCATCCTGGTACTTACCACTTAATTTTGTTTCATTTTATAGCAGACCGTACAAGGCAAACATCTTTCAGAGTGTGTGCATGTATACCACTAGGCTATGACTTAAGTTGACAACTATAAAGGGGGGATGGAGAGGCCAAGCATAATTCCATAGACAGGGGGCAAGCACAGCAACTGAGTAAACACAGGCCCTCGCTCTCCCACAGCCAGGCATGAAATGCTTACAAATGTTTTTTGTTTTGTTTGTTCTTTAGAACTCTTCTTAGAACAGGGGTTCTTAATATAGGGACTATGGATGGGCTTAATTATAAGCAAAACTTTGCCTGTATGTTCATTTTTAGGGTGAGAAGGTATATAGCTTCCATCAGATTCCTAAATGGGCCCAGAGCAAAACAAACAACACTACCATAATTACCTTGGAAAAACTTGTAAGCTTTTGGGAAGGGATGCTATCTATAATCACATAATTTTTAGCCAAATTTTCTTTATTCAAGAAATTTGATTCCAAAATACTCTAGGTTGTAACCACTATAAACTACAACCATTCTTTGTACATAAATAATTTGTGGTAAACACTAAATCTCAGGCTACTTCCTTTACCAACTAAAAAACTGTATTAAGAGAATGAAAACATTTTAAATATAAAAATTAAGCAAAATTGGCATGAGAAATCCTTTATAAGCATAAATATGTATGTATGACCTCTATGCTGGCCAGTTTCCATGATCAGCACCACCATGCTGGCCATTTTCCATGATCAGCACCACCAGTGCCCTCTTTAAACAGTTAAGTCAACTGTTTCCATGAAGTTGATTAAATGCTTGAATGTGGTTAAAGCCAAAGGTTTCCTGATCCTAAGAAATAGTTCTGGGCTGGTCCGATGGCAGTGGGTTACCAGAACTTACCTAAGTTAGTATCACTAACCCCCCACTGCTTGACTGGCTTAAAAAACAACAACAAAACAAAACAAACAAACAAAGAAGAAATAGTTCTGGTCTTGATTAACCCATGTGCTCTTTTGTTAAATGTAATTCTTAAACCTCCTTTAATATTATTTGAAAATTTGAAGAAATTCTTGTTCTAAAGCCAAATCAAAACTATGATGATTCTATGATAATTTTAGGAGCTTAAAATTTTGCTCTTGAAATGTTTCCCTCTGCACCTCGATCACGCGCAGCGATAGTGAGCTGTGCGTCAGTTTGCTGGCCACAGGCTTCTCTCTGCGGGCCATCCATTGTGTTTCTTTGTTTTGAAGTGACGCGTGCCCACACCACTGGTGGGGGGTAAGGGCGGTAAGACATGCAGGTCCTAGCCCTTCAAGATGCACGGACAGGCAGAATCCTACCACCAGCTGTAACCTGACCAACGGAGACTGGGCCCAGGCAATGGTGTAAAACTTCATTTCACCTTCAGAGCAGACCTTTCTCCCAGTATCTGGAGTTAAAAATAGTGTAGGCCGTGTTGGCCTGGGTTATTTTTATCAGGAAAACAGGGACTAGAAACAGCATCGTGGAGTTGACCACAATAGGACAAAAACCCTCATAGACTTTCAAAAGGTCTCGCCGTAGTTTTAGAAACTGGACTGAAAGCAGGGGAAGCAGAGGTGAGGTGCAGGGCAGGTGGGCTGAGGCACTCACTAGTGTGAACACAGGTAACAAGGCACAAGGACCACCAAAGGTGTTTGACATGAGACAGAATCGCACCAAACAGCTCCGGGAGTTACTTCCGGAGGAAAAGGTATATAAAGTCTGAAGAAAAGAGAGCTCAGTGGAGGTCAAAGCTGAGGGACAGAGTTGGGAATGGGACTCACGCTCGATCCTAAAGAACGTATGAGGTTTGAATGGCTGGGAGTCAAACAATTCAAAGAGGTGTGGGCAGGAGTGAGAAGGGGAGCAATTGGGAAGAACCCAGTCTGGCTGAACTAGCGGTTGTATCTCAAAGATAAGTAACAGGTCAGAGTGGGCCTAAGCAGCTGAGAGTATAAATACGTAGGAATCCAACTGTTAGAATAGGCAGCTAGGTAGACATGAGCTAGGAGAGGTAGCTGGGGCTTGAAAGGAGAATGGTGAGACGTAACAAACTGAAAATAGACAACAGAGGAGGCAGGCCCCTATGTGAGGAGGAAAGATTCAGAATTGGACCAGGGTCCTACCCTCAAGGGGCTCACAATTAGCACAGAAAACCAGCAATATGGGGGCCTGCAGGAGGCGGCCTGTCAGTGATTCTCTCATCATTGATGTTTCTCTCTCTCTCCC